CCCCGCACTCACCCCTCCCCCCGCGCACCAGCCCCGTACCCGCGTCATCGCCGGCTCCCTGCGCCCCTCCATCGTCACTCGGCCCCTGCACACGTCATCCTCACCTGGTCCCCCTGCCCCAGGCCTCCGCCGGACCCCTCGCACCCGTAGCCTCGCCCCGCACCCGCACACCCACGTTCCCACAGGCCTCGCTTGCCCTCCCCCGCCGTCCCAGCACACCCGTCCTTGCCCCGGCCCCGCGCGCCTGCGCCCTCGCCCCGCGTCCGCCCTAATCGCCTCGCGCACCTCGCCCTTCCCTGCCCCGCCTTCGTCCCTGCCCCGCGCCCCAGCCGCACACGCGGGCCGACCCCCCACGCCCCGCGCCCCGCCCCCGCGCACCTGCGTCAGCAGCATGAACGCATTGTCGGCCCGGAGGTTCTTCTTCAGGAATTCCACGCAGTGGGCCTCGAGCGCGGGCACCGCGTACTTCTTGGCTGTGTACAGCGTGGTCATGACCGTCTCGGGTCCGATCTGAACCTCATCCGAGTAGAGAAACCTAAGACAGGACGCTAGGACCGTCAGACCCGGCTGGCAGACATCACTCCAGCCCCTGCCCCCCCAGCCCCGCCCCAGGAGCCTTCCAGAACCAGCGTCTGCTGCCCTATGACCTGGCAAAGACCCTTATCCACCAAGGCCAGCCAGAGCCCATCCCGCCCACACTCCACCACCGAAACACGCGTCTATGCGGCGGGCCCCTTCCTTCCTGGTGGGACGGCCCCGTGCCAGGGCACCAACGCGGAAGGCCCCCCGACTCCCCTGGAGGCAGCTGCGTGGGATCTGCCGTGGGACGGCCGTCCACGTGGCTGCAAGGCTCAGCGAGCTCGGGGCGCGTCGCAGGACCAGGAAGGCCAGCCTGAACCAGGCACCATGACCACCACCATCCCCGCACTCGGATCGTGGAGGTACGGTCCATTTTACAGAACAAGGCGGTGGAGAGATGAGAACCCTGGGCCGAAGCCGGCGGGATGCAGCACGGAGAGCAAGAGCAAGGCCCAGAAGGCTGTGCCCGAGTCCGGGGTCTCCCGAGAATGTGCTGGAAGCCCCCACACGGCCTCCCACATCAGCAGCTGTAATCCTGTGGGGTCAGGGAGACCCCGGACCCGGGGTCAGCAGCGCAGTGGGCGCACCTGTGACGGGGTCGGCCGCTTAACACACCAGCGAGGAGGACGGCGTCAGCCCTGGGGGCAGCAGCTCAGCGCGAGTGATGGGAACCGGGAGCCAGGGGGCGGAACCCAGCACCCACCTGAGTTCAATCTAAGCCAGGGTTTTGGCAAACTGCAACCGGTCACCTGTTTGTTTTCTCATGAACATCTTTTATTTATTTTTTTAAAGTTACAATAAACTATACACAACAAGGGGGCGCCTGGCTGGTTCAGTCGGAAGAGCATGCAACTCTTGATCTCAGGGTTGGGAGTTCAAGCCCTACATCGGGGCTAGAAATTACTTAAATAACACTTTAAAAAATACATGCACAGCATAAATAATACCACTGTAAGCATTTTTAGGCATACGCCTCAGTGTCATGCGACCACCCCCACCCTCCGTTTCCAGAACTTTCCATCTCCCTAAACTGAGACTCTGTCCCCGTGAAGCACAGACTCCCACCCCCTGCCCCAGCCCCCGCTGCCACCCTCTCCGTTCCGTCTGTGTGGACGGGACTCCTCTGGGGACCTCCTGGGAGTGGGGTCTGGCTCCTCTCACTGAGCCCGGTGTCCTCGGGGTCTGTCCATGTTAACAGTCTAGCGTGTAGATGGACACGTGGTGTTTATCCTGCACCCACAGGTGGACACTTGAGTTGTGTCTGTCCCGTGAGGCTCGTGCTGCTGTGAACACGGGTGCGCAGGGACCTGTTTGAGTCCCTGCTCTCAGTTCTCACAGAGACATCCAGCAGCGGAATTGCTGGGTCACACGGTGACTCCACGTTTAAACCTCTTGAGGGACCTCACTCCTGTCTCGCAGAGCTGGCCACGTCTCCCAACCCCACTGGCCCCGCACGGGGGTCCCAAGAGCCCCCCCTCCTCACTGATTCTGGTTATCTTCTTTTGTTTTTTCTGTGTTTTTCGTAATAGTTGCCCAGGTGGGTATGAAGTGATAGCTCATCATGGTTTTGTCACCTGTTCTTGTACTTGAAGTTTTAGTGGCACCCAGCCTCCCCTCCCCGCTCGTTTACAAATAGTCTGGCTGCTTTTACAATACCAGCCGCAGGGTGAGTGGTGGGGACGGAGCCCATCCGCCGCTGGTTTTAGCAATCTGAGAAGTTACACGATGACAAATCCCTGAGATTGTTCCCCAAAGTGCTACCTGTCCTCGGGAAGACGCCGGGAGTGGCGCACAGGACCAAGCGTCCAAGCGTATCAGACGGCGCCAAGCATTAAGGGGCGTCCGCCGACGGGACCAACGGGAACAAAGCCCCGCCTGCCAGTGAGCTGCGGACGGCGGGGGAGGGGAGCACCCACGCGGCCTCGGACACGGCAGGGGGCGGCTCCTCCCGTCCTTCACGCTCGTTTGTTTCCTTTCCTTCCTTCCTTCCTCTCTCTCTCCCCCTGTGCCATCTTTATAATCAAAGAGAAAAAATAAACTCTGCATTTAAAAAGAAATGTCAACTGCTTGGAACAGTCTGTAAAGTTCCCCACCCTGATTTACCCCCGGTGTTTCTGGAAGCGAGAGGCCGGTGCTCAGCGGAGGGGCAGAGCCCCGCCAGCCCACAGCCTCGCTTGCCCCCTGCTCGGAGGGCGCAGCCCCCGCCCTGGGTGCCCACCGCTCTGATGCTAACGCGCTTGAGGGAATTTTGAGGCTCAAGAAGAAAACACTAGAGCTGGTACTGAACATTCTCACATTATCTTACTTCTTCCACAACCCGTTGACCACGACGGGTGAGAACGGGGAGTTGCACGCGCGGCCCCGGGGACGGACCCCGAGCCCACGACGCTCAGGGAGGGAACCAGACACGGAAGGCCACACGGGGTGTGCGTCCGCGTGGGTGACACGTCCAGAACGCGCTCATCCGCGGACGGGAAGGGGGCTCGCGGGGGCCGGGGCTGGGGAGTGGGGTGACGGGGTGTGGAATCAGTCGCCAACGCTGTGGACACATTACAAACCCCTGAAGTGTGTGCTGCCAATGGGTGGACTGTCCCGTCTGAAAATTACGTCTGTTAAAAACATACAAAAATGAAAACGGGGTGGGGGCCTCCGGGAAAGATCTAGAAGTCTTACTTGAGGAGCGCCAGGAAGGCGGCCGGCTCCACGTCGGGCAGCTCGATCTCGGTGGATGTGGTGGCCATCCCCCCGTTGAACATGGCGTCGAAGACGGCACTGCCCACGGCCAGCACGAACCTGGCGTCAGAGAAGAGCCCGGTTACCCTCCATGCGGCCCCGCCTGTTCCCGGCACCCCAGTCTGGGGGCTGTCGGGGCCCCATGTGTCCCCACAGGAGGTGCTGGGGGAGCGGCTCCGGCCGGTGCCCCAGCAGATGCTGGCCCAGAATATCCTAGTGGCAGATGCTTCCAGGAGGGAGGCTATGCAACCGGCCCAGCAACAGCAGGTCCCCCGTGTCCCCCCACGCACACACCCCCGTGCTCAGACTGTGGGTGTCTCCCCAAACACACACTCCCGTGCTCAGACTGTGGGTGTCACCCCCACACACACCCCCCATGCTCAGACTGTGGGTGTCTCCCCAAACACACACCCCCGTGCTCAGGCTGTGGGTGTCACCCCCACACACACCCCCCGCTCAGGCGGCTGGGGCCGCCCCCCCCCACGCACACACCCCTGTGCTCAGGCTGTGGGTGTGCCCCCCAAACACACACCCCCATGCTCAGGCTGTGGGTGTCCCCCCACACACACACACCCATGCTCAGGCTGTGGGTGTCCCCCCCATGCACACACCCCCCGTGCTCAGACTGTGGGTGTCCCCCCCACACACACACACCCCCACCCGTGCTCGGGCTGTGGGCACTAGGGTCCTGGCCGTCCTGGAGGGAGGCAGGTGCAGGTCCAGTGCATGGACAGCCTGACTGTGGGGCAGGAAGCACATAAGCCTGTGATGGGAGTGAGAGTCAGGGAAGGCTTGGCAGGGACATTGGAGCGGGGCTGAGGCCACAGGGAAGGGCATCAGGGCCCGGGGAATGGTAGGAGCACAGGGGAGCGTTAGGAGGTGGCAGCCGTGAGGCCGAAGGGTTCATCCAGAGTGGTATGACCATGCGGGACCCACCTGCCCGTGACTTCTCGGCGCAAGGACAGGAAGGCCCAGTGGGGCGAGGACAAGAAGTGAGGTGCCCCCCCCCAGCCTTCCTCCGAGCCAGCGGCAACCCCCCCGCCGGAGCACTCCATGGGGGCCGCCTGCTCCGTGCTCTGTGCTGTCCACCCGCAGTCTCCAGGGCTCACCCCGCAGCCCGTCTGCCGCAGAGCACCCATCCCCGGGTCCGCGAGGCCCTGCGTCACACCCCCTCCTGGGGTCCCCATCGTGACACACGCGGGGCTCAGAGCGGCCCCCACATTCTCCTTCCCAGCCTGCCCACGGCTCCCAGCAAACCCCAGGCTGGGAAGCCCCCAAATGTTAACGGGGAGAAGGACCTCCTTCCCCAGCTCCCACCTTCCCCGCCATCCAGGGGCGCGCCTCCCAGGCCCTCGTTCGGACCGCCGTGGGCACGGGGCTTGAGCATGTCTGGGGACCAGACCCGAGACAGGGGACCAGATGGGAATCCAAGTGGGGAGGACAGCCTCCCCCAGAAGTCATGTCCACCCGGAAAGCCGGAATGGGACCTCACTTGGAAATGGTGTTCGTAGACGTGACTGGTTCACGTGAGGTCATATGGGAGCAGGGTGGCCCTAGTCCCACGCTGGTGTCCTCATGAGGGGACTTTGAGCACAGACACAGGGAGAAGCCACGTGGCGACAGATACAGACATGGGAGGGACGCGGCCACGAGCCCGGGGATGCCTGGAGCCCCAGGAGCTGGGAGAGGCAGGAAGGACCGTCCCCGGAGCCTCCATGACACGTCGGCCTTGGACGTCTGGCCCCAGGACGGGGACAGGAAACGCCTCTGGGGCCCTGCCCCAAGCGCGGCCAGCCTCACCCGCATCCTCGGCGGCCCCAGGCCCCTCACTGCACCCCCACACGCGCTCCTTAGATAAAGTGCCTTCCGGGTCCTCCTCTCCGGCTTGGGGGAAGCACCTCACTCTCTCGCCGGAACATGGGCTCCAGCGCCGCAGTAAGAGGCTGCCAGCCCCCACGCCCCCCGCAAGACTGCCGTGTCTGAGGGGCATCTGCACCCCCGGGCCCTCTGCTCACACCCCTCGCGCCTCCGGCCCCTCCCCGCCTGGCTGGCCACCCGGTCTTCTCCAAGCCCCGATCTGCCCCCCCCGGGGGACGCCGCCTCACCCCACGCAGAGGGCTGGGATGAGCCACGCGGACCACGCCGAGAGGCCACACGGATGCGGAGAGAGCAGGACCCGCGGCGAGGCCGGCGGGAGCGCGAGGTACGCGGCCGCCGTGGGAACCGTCCGGCAGCTCCTCTGCTGGCCCAGCCCGAGCGGCCGCGTGGCCCAGCAGCTCACGCCTGGTGCACGTGCGGGAGAGACGAGCGCACGCGTCCACACGGCCTGCACACCTGTGTTCACAGAGCGCGAGTCACAGCGGCCAGAAGGGGGACGCACGCGTGTCCGTGGATGAAGGATACACACGGCGCGGTCCGTCCCCACGCGGGAACACGCTCCAGCCTCCGGAAGGAAGGGACCCTGACGCCTGCCACGACTCGGAGGGACCCCCGAGGACACCAGGCTCAGCGAGAGGAGCCAGACCCGGAAGGACACATCCCGCAGGAGGACCCCACTGCCCGGAGGGGCCGCGGCCCCGCACTTCCTCTGTGTGGCTCCTGAGCGGAGAGTCGCGTGCTCTGGGCGGCGCCACGGAGCAGGCGTGTGGTGGACGGTGCGAGCCGGGGCCCCCTGCCGAGGGCACAGGGTGTCAAGTGTGGGAGGGGCGCGGATTCCGGGGTGCTGGCCTGGAGCAGAGGCATGGGGACCATCCTGCGGCTCCACGCATGGGCAGCCCGGCAGCGAGGGGACACCCAGCGCCCGGAGCTTGGGGTCTACATCCCACACCAACAAACGGGACCAGCTCCCTGGAGACGCGGCGGACCCCGGGGCCGGAGCGGGGAAAGGACAAGACGAGCTTGGAGTGTCTCGTGGGGCCAGCAAGTAAAGAAACGCTCCAAGCGCGACGGGGAAGCGTCAGGAGGATGCAGGATGGCCAAACCTGGGACGGCACAAGCCACAACATCGTACGCATACTGCACAACGTACGTACCCTCGGCCACAAAGACGGAGTTACCTAACTGCGTGAGCGGAGGAACGGAAAGGGACCGCACTTCCTCGCAGAATCCGGCGGACGGACGCAGACGCGGTCATGGACGCGGAAAAGCACCACCAGCAAACACCTGGGCCGCAGCCGTGCGCGGGGAGAACCCCCACCCCCAGCACGACGGCCTGGGGCGACAGGGAGAAGACACAGGGTGTGCGCAGAGCCTCGCGGTGTCCCCCGGGGAGAGCCACTTGGAGGGGACGGCGGTGGCAGGCCTCTGGCCACGATGCCCCAGGAAGGACGCAGGCCACTGCCTGACATCCAGCCACACCGCGGGGGGGGATGAGGAAGGCACAGCCCGCAGAGACGGCGTGAATCCCACCCGACGGGCGGCAGGATCCGGCCCTCACTGGAGATGCACATTTCCTGGGCTCAGGGAGCCGTGCGCCGGCAACGGGGAATAGTCATGGATGAGCACGCACCTGGCAACGGGCTCCCCAGATACGCAAGGCAGAAACTGAGCGTTGAGGGAGAGAGAGACAGCCGGACCACCAGAGCTGGAGCTTCTGGACTGTTCTCGAAGGCTGGCAGAGCGGCGCACAGACCGCGGCCCACCCGTCACCGCCGGCCTGACCGAACCCTCCACGCGCACACGGGACGGTCCCCAGGTGAACGCACGACCAGGGCTGACGTCAGCCACACCACACTCTCCAGAGGAATTAGCCATCCACAACCAGAGGAAATCTGAGAAATCCCCAAATGTCTGGAAACGAACACACTTCGAAGCAACCCGGGGGGGGAGGAACGCGCGGCAAAGGAGAAAGATCTCGGCTGGCCTGAAAATGGAAACACCACCCGCCACGAGGAAAGAGGCGCCGTTAGAAGCAAACGTGGCAAATCCACGAGGCAAAGCCTGGGGATCGGCCAGGCGAGCTCCCGCCTCAGGCGTCCAGACAGTGGGGAGCAAACCCACCGCAAGCAGAGAAGGAAGCCCACAAGGGGACAGCGGGACCTCGTGAGCCCGGGCGCAGGGGGGCACCCAGAACCCGCCGCCCACGGAAGAGACACAGGCCACAAAATCAGCAGCGAAGGCGAGACCGTCACTGCAGACCCTAAAGATGAAAGAATTTCAAGTTTCATGCCAACAAACTGGGACAGCTTAGATGAAGGGATGATGTCCTGCGAAGACGCAAACAGCTGGGTCGGACTCCCGGAGATCGGAACACACGCAAGCACAGAATGAGCCCCTGAAAACCTCTCCCCAAAGGGAAGCCCCCAGGCATTTCAGAAGGGATAGCGGCAGACTCTCCCAGAGATGGGGGGAGGGGGGAGCAGTGCAGCCGCGAGGCCAGTACGCGGGGCAGGCGGTGCGCATGCACCGCAGAGCAGGCTGGCGCTTGCTTTCTCTCTTTTTTTTAAAGATTTTATTTATTTGACAGAGCATGAGTGAGGGGCGCAGCAGAGCAAGAGGCAGGCTTCCCGCTGAGCAGGGAGCCCGATTCACGGCTCGGTCCCAGGACCCTGGGATCACCACCTGAGCCGAAGGCAGACGCCCAGCCGACTGAGCCAACCAGGCGCCCCAGGCTGGCGCTTTCTTAAACTGTCAAATGTCAGAGTTACCCCCAATTCCAAGGGTCCGCTCCCAGGTATTTGTCCAAGAGGAAAGGAACCGTGTGTCCACGCACAGACTCGTGCCCCAGCGCACACGGCAGCCTGGAAACCGCACACAGCCCGGATGCCCAGCGGCTGGTGAAAGGACACACCACGGTCCGTCCCTGCAGCTGAATTCAGTGACTGCGTGAGTAACTTTAGCAGTAGCCGTAACTGAGCTGGGACCCCCCTGGGCGGCGCAGTCGGTCAAGCGTCTGCCTTCGGCTCAGGTCGTGATCCCGGGGTCCTGGGATCGAGCCCCACATCGGGGTCCCTGCTCCGCGGGAAGCCTGCTTCTCCCTCTGCCCCTCACTCATACTCTCTTGCTCACACGCTCTCTCTCTCAAATAAATAAAATCTCAAAAAAAAAAAAAAAGTCTCAGTCTCGTGATTTCAGCTTCCTTCATGACCTCAGGGCCGTGAGATCGAGCCCCGCATCAGGCTCGGCTCTGCACCGAGCGAGGAGCCTGCTCGGGATTCTCCCTCTCCCTCTGCCCCTCCCCGCCACAAATAAATAAATAAAATTAAAATAAAAAAAGAAAGGTAACTGGGCTGTAGCTGACCCTTGAACAGTGCGGGTCGACACACCGGCGGATGTTTCTCAGTAAAGGCAGCATGGGACTCAAAACGCCCTTTCTCTTCCTTACGATTCTCTTGGTTCTAAGAACACAGTACACGGTAGATACCTAAAGCATCCCCGTCCGTGCACTGGAGAGGCTTGCGGTCCCCGGTAGGCTCTCGTTGGGTGAGGTCTCAGGGGTGGAGTTACATGTGGATTTTTGGCTGTGCAGGAGGCCGGCGCCCCTAACCCCCACATGGTTCAAGGGTTGAGTGTACTGATACACACAACAACGTGGATGAATCTCAAAAACTTTTTCTTTTATTTAAACATTTTATTAATTTGAGACAGAGAGCGAGGGAAAGAGAGAGGGAACACAAGCAGGGGGACGGGGAGAGGGAGAAGCAGGCTTCCCGCCGAGCAGGGAGCCCGACGCAGAACTCGATCCCGGGACCCCGAGATCACGACCAGAGCCGAAGGCAGACGCTTAACTGACCGAGCCCCCCGGGCACCCCTCAAAAACTTTTAAGAAGCCAGACTGAAGATGACATGCTGTATCACTCTAATTACATGAAATTTCTAAAAACAGCAGACTGGGAGAGACAGAAGGCAGGCCGGTGATGGCAGCGAGTGGGCGGGGGGACCTCAGGGGGCGGCGGCCACACGGCGGTGCACACTTTCCACATAGACAGTTGTCAGGACCCGGACCAGGCTCCGGGGAAAGGGCTTGGGAGCACCCCACACCCACACTCACGAAACCCTCTGAAAGCAGGGAATCGAGAGAAACTTGAGAGAAGCCGTCGGAAACCAGCATCCGTGGTCCCATTTGTCGATGAAAAACACAAAACACAAAGGCTCCTTGCTCTCACCTGTTAGGGAGCAATGTCCTGTGGTCAGAAGTGCAGTAAGAAGGCGCCTGGGTGGCTCAGTCGGTTGAGCATCTGCCTTCAGCTTAGATCATGATCTCAGGGTCCTGGGATCAAGCCCCACGTCCGGCTCCCTGCTCCGTGAGGAGTCTGCTTCTCCCTCTCCCTCTGCCTCTCCACCCCCCGCTCGTGCTTGCTCTCTCTCTCAAATAAATAAAATCTTTTTAAAAAATGAAAGACTCAACTCCTCAGTTGTGACAGCTATATTCAAATGCTCAGTAGCCACGTGTAGCTAGCGCTGGACGGCATAAATCGAGAACATTCCCATCATCACAGGAAAGTATCGGACAGTGCCAGACCACAGAATCCACTGAACAATTATTAACATGAACAAGGGCTTGGACAGAAATCGCTCAAATCAGATAGAAATAAATATGCAAAAAACATACAGCTTCCCAGCAAGAACCAGCTGGAAAAATATAACAAAGATTATTCACAACAGAGAAAAAAAAGTAAGTGAGCAAAATCAGCAATAAATGTGCAAAAGCCACATGTAGAAAACCACGAAACTGTCCTAGGAACCCAAAAACTGCCCGGAACAAATGCAGAGAGATCTTGCTCCCAGATACGCTCTGTACCCTAACCTTCGCTCTCCCCAGCCTGGTATCGCTGGGGGACCCGTCCCCCCAGTAAATTCCTTCAGCACTTGACAAACTGATTCTAGAGATCCAACGGAACCATGAGTCTGCCCAGGGGCCCGCAAACTGGCCAACCCCTTGTTTCTGCAAATAGTTTTATTGGGACATGGCCGTGTTCATTCACTGATGTGTTGTCTACACCCGTCCTGCTGGGCAGAATTAAGTACGGGGAACGGAGGCTGTTTACCTAAGTTGGCTGATGCCGGGCTGGAATGTCGGCCGTGGAGGGACAGAGATGCTTCCCGCCAGCACCATGTGTCTGTGACTGTTTGAGGGGGGCCCGAGGGACGGGTGGGCCATCGATGCCAAAAGGGTAAATGTGCGACCAGCTGAAGAAGTCTTGACAAAGAATAAAATTGGGAACAAGGGCCTCAGCAGTTCTCAAAACATACCGGAAAGCCAGAGTCATCAAAAAATGTTCTCGTAGCAGAACACGGATCGATGCCAGGAGAGACCCCAGAAAGACCGTTCCGCTTGCTGGCCTTCTCTGCTCCATTCTCCAAGACGGATGAGCTCGGGCGTCTGCGATACTGACTGCGGCAGCGCCCGAATCGCTCGCAAGGGCCGCCCTACCCTGAGCCCCGCAGCATCTCCGCAGAGCCCGCCAGCAAGGGAGAGCAGACATCTGACTCGGGCAGGTCGATGCCCTGCAGTTACTGAGCACCTACTGCATGCCAGGCCTTCTCCTGGGGCTCCGAAGGCAGCAGGGAAGGAGAGGAGCAAGGCCATGACCACCACCACGGGGGTGCCCGTCATTGGGAGCTTAGAGGGAAAAGCGTTCAGGGTGAAGGCCAGGCAGAGCCTCGGGACCAGGGGCCAGGGCCCGCTCCTCAGCCTGCACGGATGCCGGCCCTCCTGCCCCACAGCCCGGGTCAGCCTGCGCCCGGAGCCCATGCCCGCCGGGGGGCGGGGGGGAGGCAGGTGTTCGCACAAGTCCCCACTTTTTGGAGGCAGCCTCAACCGCAGTGGTGCCCATGTTCTGGCGCTAACCCCTCTCTCTGCCCTAGGACACCACCTGGGGCCCCACATGGCATCTGATCACCTCCTTCAGTGCCCATAGCGTGTGGCAACATCTCCACCTTTCCTTGTTTCTCGTGACCTTGACAGCCTCCTGGACGCCCAGCCAGGTGTCCCACAGCGTGTCCCCGATCTGGGCTTGTCAGCTGCTTTCCTGTGGAGTTTGGAGATCTCGGTTTCCCACGACTGCTCTAACAAGGCACCACACGCAGGGCGACTCCCGACAACAGGATTTCATCCTTTCCCAGTCCCGGAGGCCAGAAGCCCCAGACGGAGGTGCGGCAGGGCCCTCGGGAGGCTCCAGGGGAGGGTCCGACCTGCCTCCTCCAGCTCCGCAGGACCCCAGGGGTCCCCCGGCCTCTGGCCACAGCACTCCAGTGCCTGACTCCATGGTCATCAAGGGGCTTCTCCTCTGTCTCTCCTCCGTGTCTCTTAGGAGGACACTTGTCATTGGGTTTAGAGCCCACCAGATAATCCAGGATGATCTCATCTCGAGACCCTGAACTTAATCACATCTGCAAAGACCCTTTTTCCAAATAAGGTCCCACTCACAGGTACAAGGGCCTGGGATGAAGACACACCTTTTGGGGGGCCACCATTCAACCCACGACACTGGGGTTATGGGTTTGGGGAAGAACTACAGAGCCGGGGTGCCCTTCTGGTCCTGTCCCATCAGGGGTCCCTGACGGGCCGCTCAACATCACTCTGGAGTTGAACTTGACCCCTGGGCCCAAGTGGGGTGTGCCAGGTTTCCCCACGGTGGGGTTACCATCACTTCCTGGGGCCTGGGGCCTGGGCCCAGGCAGGGAGCACCCGCACACACCACCGGGGCTCTGGGGTACGGAGCCTCACCTCCCCCACGCTCCGCACTCGGATTCAGCCTCTAGACTTGCCTGCCTCACGCCCTAGGTGATGTCCGCACCTTTATTTAAGCTCACCCTGGACCACTGTGATAAGCACTCGGTTGGGTCACCAAGTCAATCCTCCCAGAAGTCCTGGGGTGGAGGCATCCGAGTGGTCAGTCCCAGTTCACAGGTGGGGAAACTAAGGCACAGAAAGCCCAGGGCCACTCGCTGGGCAGTGATCTACCTGATCACTGCAGGTAAAATTTCACCAATCTGTACGAAATCACAACCCAAAGGGAGAAAAGAAAGAAAAAGAACTAGAACCTTCTATCAGTAAAGGCCAAATGGTGGGGCATCAATACCAGGGTAAATGGGACAAGAAAAGTGCTTTCGGCCTGCCCCGGACCCTCTCTGGGCATCAAACACACACACCCAGGGAGTCCCTGGGGCCCCGACCGATGCCTGCAGGAACCAGCAAGGTGTGCCAGGGGGCCGGGCTCCCTGGGGACTTGGGACTCGTGTGGCCACTAGTGTGAGAAGCCACGGGTGCAGTGGGTGGGCCCGCCTGAAGGTGAATATGAACGTCAGCATGTCCAGAAGAACCGCACCCCAGACCACACTTTCAGGGTGGCTCCCCACAGCCATTCCTAAGCACTAACCGCCCCCATCCACACCCCTCCCCCCAGGCTGCCCCATTACCTCCCACCACTCTGTCCTTCCCTCCGATGCTGGAGCCAGGGTCCGGGGGGGCCCCCCGCCGCAGCCCCCACTCTCCCTCCCCTACCAAGCTGCCACCTCACCGCACCAGGGAGAGGAGCCCTGTTTCTATGGTCCTCCCCAAGCGCCTGCAGGCTCCATCCACAGCCAGGCCCCCCGTCAAAGCCGACTGTCCCTCTGGCCCACAGTGCCCCCCTTGCCCCTGCTGCGTGCCCAGCCCCTCTGGTCTCCAGGTCTCCCCTCCCCCTCGCCCTGCTCAGCACCTGCTCAGGGTACGGATCCCTGTCACCCCCTCCCAGGGCCCTGTATCTCCCTGCTGCTGTCAGAAAAGCTCACTAAATATCACGCCGGGCTGACCTTCCTACCAGAGCCCTTGCTCCCAGCCATTCTCCCGAGCCCAGCAGCGCCACACCCTTCCCCCCACTTCTCTGGGGGGCCCCATGCCCACCTTCCTCATCCCTTCTTCACCACTAACAGCCACACACAGTCGAGTACATGTCCTGAGGTTAGTGGTGCCCGGGGGACCCCCTCGCTCCCCTGAAGCAGAAACCCTGAGGTCCCCCTTCCCCCTCCCTGTGGGGTTTCCAGCGGCATCCACGTGGCCCCATCCCCAAAGGGCTTGGGTCAGGGGGGCAGGAGCCCATGCAGCCTCACCTTGCTCATTCCATGTGTTCCCTGAAGCTTGGTGGGGGCGGGGGAGGGGGAGCTGTAAAGGCCAGACTGGGCTGAGCAGTATTTAGGAGCACAGGTGGACATGAGGGAGGCCGAGGTGGGGGGCTGCTTCTGGGATCAGTCCCCCTACTCCAGGCTTGGGTGGGGGTGAGGCCCATGTGGCTGCACACACACAGGGGAGGGAGGAGCCACGGGAGGTCCTGGGGACCCAACCACAAGCCTGGAACCTTCTGTAGGCAGGAATCTAGATCCAGTCGTACATCAATAACCAAGAAAAAGCCAGAAAGAAACATCTCAAAGGCACAGGTTAAACAGAGGCCACATGTCAGAAAGGCAGGGAGGACCACTCACAGCAGGCTGCGGAACATTCCAGGTCAGTGGCAAGAAACCCCCAGCCCCCCTCCCCCAATGGAGCCCTCCCCGTGAGGCCCCCTCCCCCAGCTCCCTGGAGTGCATCGGGGAGCAGAGTCAGAGAGATGGGGAACGGACCGGGAGTCTGACATCAGTCCCACCCTGCCCCGGGGGCTGAGGGCTGCATCCTGGAGACTGGCGGGGGGGCCGGACCGGGGCCAACAATGCCCCCTTTTTCAAAGAGAAGGCCTGGAGGCCAGGGCGGACATGGGGCTGGGGTGTCACAGAACTGGGATCGCTGAGGGGGTTATGTGGTTTAGGAGTCTGGGCTTCTGGGTTCAAGGGGCAGGGGTCTGGTGGGGGCCTGGAGGTCACCACCGGGGAAGGATGGGGCACTTGGTGCAGGAGGTCCCGGGGGCAGGGTGGTGGGGGGGGGCTGTGCCCGGAGATCCTGGGCAGGGTGGCCCGAGTCTGCTGGGGGACGGAGAGGAGGGGGTCCCAAGGCCAGGGTATGGCGAGCATCAGAGGGCTGAGGGGTGGATGGCGGCCCAGCAGGGCCACAGGACGGCGGCAAAGTGGGTGCCAGGGGTCCCGAGGGGTGGCGGGTTCC